AGAATTCTGAGAGATGATCTTCCTTTGGATTCTAATGTCTCAAAGCTGGGGATTCCTTTTGTGAATAGGTGTGGTTTATGCTGTCAAAGCAGCGAGAATGCTGAGCACTTGTTTGTGGAGTGTGCTTATGCTAAGTCTATTTGGAGCAGATTGGTTGCTATGATGGGGTTCCAGATTATAGATGGTGAGTCTCCTGTAGTGAGATTGAGGAGCTTGTGAAGGGTCTTTAAGAAGAAGTCTATGCGTCATGGTTTAATAAGGAGTGTAGGTGCTCAAGGTTGAAGTCCCTTATCGAATTGTTAGGAGGTCTGTATGGGTTAGCTGGGTATGTCCTCCTCCTGGGGTACTTAAATTGAATATAGATGGGGTTTCTAAAGGGAATCCTGGGGTTACATGTGAGGATGCTGTTCTGAGAAATGATTGGGGCAAAGTTGTGCTGGCTGCGTCTTTCTTTTATGGGGAATGCACTAACATTACTGTTGAGTTTAGAGCCTTGCTAGATGGCACGAGGTTGGTGAAAAATTATGGATTGTTTTCATATAAATTTCTGTGATGGGTAAGTATGAATGTGCATGGCCTTTCTTGAGATACCTGAGGTCAGATTATGGGGTTGTTAGGACAAGCTGATATTTAAATAAAGCATGTGTACAGAGACGCAAACATGGTTGTTGATAAGCTGGCAAATCAAGCAGTCCAGCACATTTTCTTTTGATTTTTCTAATTCTTTGAAGCTGCCTTGTGCTGTGAGGATGACTTTGCTGCAGTATTTGAGGCAGTTGCCTGTACTTAGAACGAAGAAGGTGATGATGTTTGATGACAAAGGATAATTGACAGTAAAGGTAAGGGAGAGGATGGGTTTATTGGGATCATGATGCTTGCAAGGATATTATGTTACTGTGAAGAGTGAAGGTTATGATTTAGGCAATTTTGTCTTGCTGAGTTGTCATGGATCAGACAGTTGGTCCCAAGATTGTTTCTTGTAATTCTTTAAAGTTTGATCAATACATTCTTCTATTTTTTTTTTTTTTAAAGTTAAGGATATGACTTATTTTTTGTAAAGTAGTTATCAAACATATTTTTTGTTTTTATTTTCATAATTTAGTATACACAAATGACTCTCAAACATGTTTTATGTTTTTAATATTTACCACAAAACAAAACAAAAATTGTCTCTGCTTTTTTATTTTTTTGAAAACTCGAAAACAAAACTATTACCAAACAATCCCTAAATTTCAACCCCTAAATTTCAAACCCTTTTAAGCTTGTTTGGTTGTCGTTTCGTAAAAGAAATGATTATATTAGTTAATTCGGCTTAATTTTGTATAAAAGAATGAGTTAATCTCAAATTGAATCTCGAAAGATGATTCTAATATTAATTTGCACCCTCAAAATTTAAAAATATTAATTTACACCCTAAAAGACATAAATTTATATCAATGTGCACCGGGGTTAACTGCTATCCATTTTACTGTCAAAAAAGTTTGGGCTAATTGTAAATTACACCTTCAAATTTAAATATTTTGCATTTATGATCCAAAAGTAATTTCATCCATTAATAATCATGAAAAATCTCTCAATTTTATTGTATCATATCATTTTTTTGTCGTGTCATTTTATGTCATGTCGTTTTCAAGTTAGTAAAAAATTATTCTTTTGTCGAGTTAATTACATTATGTCATATATTTCACATTTACGTTAATTCCTATAATACTATTTAAAAAAATTTNTTTATTTTATTTTTTTTTAAAGTTAAGGATATGACTTATTTTTTGTAAAGTAGTTATCAAACATGTTTTTTGTTTTTATTTTCATAATTTAGTATACACAAATGACTCTCAAACATGTTTTATGTTTTTAATATTTACCACAAAACAAAACAAAAAAAAACAAAAATTGTCTCTGCTTTTTTATTTTTTGAAAACTCGAAAATAAACTATTACCAAACAACTCCTAAATTTCAAACCCCTTTAAGCTTGTTTGGTTGTCGTTTAGTAAAAGAAATGATTATATTAGTTAATTCGGCTTAATTTTGTATAAAAGAATGAGTTAATCTCAAATTGAATCTCGATGATTCTAATATTAATTTGCACCCTCAAAATTTAAAAATATTAATTTACATCCTAAAAGACATAAATTTATATCAATGTGCACCGGGGTTAACTGCTATCCATTTTACTGTCAAAAAAGTTTGGGCTAATTGTAAATTACACCTTCAAATTTAAATATTTTACATTTATGATCCAAAAGTAATTTCATCCATTAATAATCATTAAAAATCTCTCAATTTTATTGTATCATATCATTTTTTTGTCGTGTCATTTTATGTCATGTCGTTTTCAAGTCAGTAAAAAATTATTCTTTTGTCGAGTTAATTACATTATGTCATATATTTCACATTTACGATAATTCCTATAATACTATTTAAAAAAATTTTAAAATACCTATTTTTTGTCTACAATACTCATTTTCTGTTTAAAGTTAGACAAGACACGACACAAATTGAGAATTATTTAATGAAAAGTAATGGATGTAATTTTTTTTAGATCATAAAAATAAAATATTTAAATTTTAAAGGTACAATTTATAATTAATCCAAATTTTTAACCGCCAAAGGGATGACAGGAAGCTCCAAGTACATATTGAAACTTTAATATTTTTAAACTTTAAAAGTGTAAATTGAGGTTTGATTAATTTTTTGAAATACAAGTTAAAATTAATCCTAAACAGAAGTGTTTAAATCTGAGCCGTTTAAAAAAATAGAGATGAGGTGTAAGTTGTAGTGAATTGGATGGGAGCCGGAACCGTCTCTCTCTGTATTTTATAAATCCAGCTCTCTCACGTCTCCCGCCGAATTTATCTCCTCCTTCTCACCTCTCCTAATTGCCGCCCCATCCGTCTCTCTCCCTCTCAGCCCTCTCCTCATTCTCTTCAATTCTATCTCACAACCCTCTCCCCTCTTTTCAATCTCAGAGAGAACCACACTGCCCTTCTCAGAAAATCCGGATCGCAAGCGGCACGGCAGGCACTGCCACAGCACAACCAGAGCCCTCTTCCAAGGTAATACTCCTTACCTCTCTATCTGTCTCTCTGTCTAGTAGCACAGGCACTAGAAACACAATCCCCCCTCTCCCCGTCCACCCTGTTTCCCCCTCTATTTCGTATTATAATGACAAAGTGCTTGAAGAGTTGCTTCAATGAAAAGAACTCAAACTATTTGTCTAATGATGATACTAAAATTGGTAAACGAACATTGGTATTGTATATCTTCGATTCTTTCTATTGATATATTTTTTTTTTGACTTGCTATTAGGCGGTTTTTTTTTTTTTTTGTTGGATTCTTTTGTCAATTTCGTAGGAGACTTGGGGTGCTTAGTTGTGTGTGCTGATACTTAAATTAGAAAAGATTTTTTTTGGGTTTTTTTAATTTGGTTGGATTGAGTTTTCTTTTCGGTGTTTTGATTGATTGATTTTTATTGGGTAATTTCTGGAAAATATTGAAGAAAATGTTTTAGATATGTTTTTGATGGACTTATATGTTTCTACTATATCCTTGAGTAAGATGCTTTTAATTATTGAGTGCTTTGCAATTATAACTCCAATAGTCCAATGACCATGGTCTCTACATATGGTCCGTACTTGTTTAATTTTATTTTTTTTCCAATTTTTTGATACAGGATATGAGAAGGTGCTTTTTCACTTGATTTGAACTGAAGGTGCTTTTCTGATACATAGGATATTAAACTACTTGGTCTGTAGGTGCTTTTTTCGTATTACTTTGTTCTATTTTTGCCTCCAGTTTCTATGTTTGACAAAATCTTTCCTTGAGTGGATTCTCATATTTGGTAGAATGTCTTTCATATTTTTTTATGGTTTGTGTGTGATACTTAGAAAGAAAAGAGTGTAGATGTGTTTTGTAGATGTATGAGACCAGTTTGTGCTTTGTAGAAGGTGAACATCTAACAATTTGTGACAAACAGTAGCTTGATTTTGATTGTATTTGAAACTTTACATTTGGGTTGAACACCACTTTGGTGTGCTTGATTACATTTGGACAATCATAACCTATGAAGCACGAATACGGAATACGGGTATGATACGATATGACAAAATCTAAAAAAGTAGGATATGAGTACAACTAGAATACGTCTATAATAAAATATGTTTTATATTTTTATTATCATCTACTAACTTAATAATTATATATTTTAGTAATTTTTTAACATAATTAGCAAAATTGACACTTTTTTTTTAGTTTCAAAAAAGTATATGTCGTCTCATTATGGTATATTCACAAAGTGAAGTGATTGATTACAGAATCAAGACTAATATTTACTTGGTTTGTTTACTTAGAAGTATTTGTTACTAAAAGTATATATAGATTCATTTTATGACCTTTTAATTTGTAATAGTAGATAAAATGTAAAAAAACCTTATGTCTTCAAAGTCGTATAAATTATTGTTGATGTTTTGTATGGTATGTTAATTCGAAGGGAGATGTTTAAAGATTAAATTAAAAAATTATTCATATTACTCAATTACAAATGTATTTGCAAAGTATCCAAACATTTTATTATTATCGGATACGTAGGAGGTGTATCTGATGCGTATGTTCAAGTATCCGACAAGTATCGTGTCCGATACGGATATGTTGACCTCAACGAAGTAGCCGTACTTCATAGATCATAACTAAACACCACTTCATTTTTTAATTATGTTTGTTGTTTTTCAAGTGGGTTCATAATGGTTAGTTTATGGTTCATAGTTTTGGGCATTAGAAATTATCAGGACTTGCGGGGATTAAATTAATAGAGCCTCTAAGGTGGGAAAGTTTGTTTATGGTTCTTAATTCAACTTGTGATTGCTGTAGTTATTAATTTTTTCTCTATTTTTGATTGGTTATTTGATTGGGTTCAACTTTCTAATTGAGAATTTTTTTTGTGTTACAGAGTGTTGGGACCATCGTTAGTAAATAAATGTAACCTAACATAACAAAAAGACCAATGAAGACACACCATCTCCAGTTGCTAGGACTCGTAGTAGTAATTCATTATGCTGCTGCAATAGCAGAAGGTAGTTATGGAGAAGAATTGTCGACGTGTTTGATGGTGTACAAAGTAGGCAGTGCACCTGCGGTTTTTCAGTCCCCAAAATGCCCTCTTTGGAAATCACAATCATCATCAGAGCAACTGGGTGGTTCACATTCTCCAACAGCCAGGTGTCAGTTGGCCATGCACCAGGGACGTCGCAAGTATCAGGAGGACCGTGCTCTCTGTGTTCTTGATGTTCGAATTCCTTTTCCCGGTAAATTTCAATCTCCCCATTACACTTTAGGGTTAGGTTTAGGGCTTTATTTTGATAATATTTGTTTGGAGAAATTATATTATGTTTGCCTTTGAATAAAGAGTTGTATTTCATATAAAATTATTTGTAGTCTTGTCTTGTGTTTGATATAAGGGTGGGGCTCCTGGCACAATCCCAAGGCTGCTCCTTTATGATATGAACTGGAGCTCGTGATGGCTCAAAACACTGGAACAAGCCTCTTTGATTTCTTAAGAGTAAGGTTATGTACGGGTATGACAAACCTTTACAAACGCTGCATAATCTTGTGCTTGATACAATTAAGATCGGATCAGATTCATGCAATTCTTTTTCCCTGCCCTGAAAAGTGTGATAAATTTAGTTGGCACTTTGGTGCAACTTTAATTAATTCATGGATAGTATCAACCTATCTACCGTATATTTTGCTTCAATATGTTGTATGATTGATAGGGCTAATATATGGCATTTTATGTTACAATAGGTCCTACGGGGATTATAGAGGTTCCAGTTGATATCGTGGCAGTTTTTGATGGTCATAATGGTGCTGAAGCTAGTGAAATGGCTTCAAAGAAGTTATTAGACTATTTAATGCTGCACACGTATTTTCTTCTCGATAAAAAATCTTTTATGTTCTCGAGGGAATCCATTGGAAGGTTGCCAAATGAGGGAGAACAGCATCGTGGCTTCCCAGAGTTCAAGTGGCATGTGTCAGATATTGGAAGGTGACTATGTCTCTTTTTCTTCTTCCATTTCGCTCCCCCACAACACATGGAAATGCTCCCACACACTCGTATTCATACAGTGAGATTATTTTTCATTGCTTGCAGACATGACTTACTATTTTATAGGAATTTTATTTGAAACATGCTTGTTTGATGATCAATTTTCGTAAATTTTTAAGAACTAATATCCCTCAACAAGATACAGAAATAAACTAGTAAAAAAATTATAGGGTAAAAATCATCTGAACCTCCTTTTAATATGCATAATTGCAAATTCTTATCTCATGTTTTTAGAAAATGCATGGACACCCTTGTGACTGGGTAGCATACTAGCTTGTGCTAGAAAATATTAACTATAGAGGGTGTCTTTGACTTTGTCATCTTTGCAGGGTAGTCTGTGAAGCGAAATATTAATTAAAGGGGGTCTTTATGCATTTTTGAAAAGCACGAGGGAGGAATTTGCATTTATACCTATTAACATGGGGGTGTTGATGATTTTTACCCAAAATTATACTTTTAGATTAGAACATTCAATTAATGGATATCCTGCCTGATAATTAAATATCATGAATTAGAAGTGTTTTGGCTCATCCACACAACTCCTAGAAAAAAAACTAACACATCATTGCCAACACAATCTATTTCAGCTGGCAAATTTATTGTAGACATGGTTTAGAGCTCGACGGTAACACTCTTTTCGGTTTTTTTTTTGTGTCTTTCTTATTTGAGCAATTTTCGTGCTTCATGAAATTTGAGTGTACATTGTCTTAAATGTTTTGTTTAATTTGAATCTTTCTCTCTTTTCTATTTTGTTTTTTCTTGAGCGTGATGCCTGATACTTGAGTTGATAGTTTGATAGGCCTCTTAGCCATCCTAACAAGAATAAATTATTGCATTTATTGTATGGTTTCTAATTTATCATCCATGCTTTCACAGGTTGAAGCCAACCTTATCGGCAAATATTGAAGGAAATGTACACTTAGAAATATTGAAGGAAGCCTTATCGAGGGCAATCCAAGATATTGATGCAGCATTTTCTAAGGTGTCACACAGTCCCCCCCCCCAAAAAAAAAAAAAAAAAACACCCCGCAACAACACAAAACACACACCCCCAACCCAATTAAACACACACATAACCCCAATAATATATGGTTGTATCTTTCTTTTTTGGCTTTCATGTTGACTTTCATTTTATTGAATTGTGCTGGAAGCGTCTAGAAACAATTACAATTCGGGTTCTATGGCTACGGTTATACTTATGGCAGATGGTCAAATTTTGGTTGCCTATATTGGTGACTCAAAGGCATTTTTGTGCTTTGAAATGTTTCAGTCTCCTTCTGAGGCTAAAGGTGGGAGTATCTTGGTTGACTAACTGCATTATTATTGCTTTAATGGGATACATTTTGTAGTATGGAGTGATTGAGTTGGCAGGCATTGTCTTGTTATACTCTGTTATTAGCATCATCTTGGGAAACATTTGAATGTACATGTGACGGAAACTTCTTTATTGATTATAAGAACAATATGGTAAGAGATTGACTGTTTCAATGGTTTTTGTGAACTACAGCTACTTTCTTAAGATTATACAGACAGAAAAGAAGTGAAGGTGCAATTTCACCCATAAGTGATTATGGCAGCCTTAAAGTGGCAGCTTCTGATGGGTGGCATTATTTTATTCCCAAAGAACTGACAAGAGATCACCATCCAGACATAAAGGATGAAAGATATCGAGTCGAATCTGCTGGAGGTCGTGTTGTTGAGTGGGGGGGCATACCTCGTGTTAATGGTCAGTTGGCTGTTTCTAGATCAATTGGTGATGTTGCCTTTAAAAGGTGAGTTCATGAGTAAGAGAGAAGTTTCATTTTTGGAACTTCCTTCTCCCCTAATTGGTCCTTTGTAATTTGTGAAAGAGTTGCATGCGAACTTCTGATCCAACAGCTTAATTTTGACTATTAATTTCCATGAAAGAACCAAAATTCGAACATATAAGAACTGGAGACTGAACTTCTAATTCAATCTTTTTGTGTTATCAGGTATGGTGTTGTATCTGTACCCGAGGTGACAGATTGGCAACCTCTGACTGCCAATGACCGCTATTTGGTGGCTTCATCTGATGGCATTTTCGAAACGCTGAGCTCACAGGATGTTTGTGATATGTTGTGGGGATTAGATCGTCCAGGTACCCTCAGATCAGATTTCGCTTCCTCTTGCTCATCCTCGTTGGCTGATTGTGTACTTAATACTGCATTTAAAAAGGGTAATATGGATAACATGGCAGCTGTTGTGATCCCATTTAGATCAACTGATATTTCTCAAACCTTGCCCAAGGAAAGGTTTGATGGAACGAGGAAATTTGATTTCCCAGGTTTGGTGGAAAGGGAAAATTTTATTGGTCGAGGCAATTATACTTCCCAGCTGTAGTTTTATGGAAACAATTGAATACAAGAAACATTTTTTTCTTAGTTAATGGAAACTTTAAACCGTTCTTTTTTTCTCAAGTTTAACAAATTTAAATATTTCTTTGACTGCATGATTTATCTTTGACAAACCAACTGTAAGAGTTGGAATTGATTTTTTGGATTTTGATGGGTTCGTTTACCTATGACCTTCTTATGAGTGGGAGGTCATTGGGCTACATCCTTGCCAGAGGCATGAATTGAATAAAGGGACCCCCTCCCCCCCCCCCCCCCAAAAAAAAAAAAAAAAAAATTTACCATCGCTTGTTTTGAACTCGGTGATGTTCACTGAGATGTGCTTATTTGGTGGTTTGGTTGACTGATGATCGTTGGTTTGGCGTGGCAGCCGGAATGCGGTGATTGGCAGTGGCACCTGTGGTTTTTGGTAGGCTTGTAGCTGAGTAGTGGTGGTGGTGATTTCGTGGACTGTTGAATCTATTACCAAAACACAGCTGTATTTAAATTTTAATACCAAAATACAGCTGTTTTGAACTTATTTTCTAATTTACGATATTTTTTAAAAGCGGAATTAACAAATTCGATTTTATCTGAAAACGGAATCAATAAGTACAATTTCATCTTATAAATCAAATTAGTGGAATCTGTTTTTAACAAAAGCGTAATCATCACACCTGTTTTTAAAACAAAAATGTGTTCAACAAATCCTCAAATGTCAAATCCAACTTGTATTGAAAGTGTATTTAATACATCCGCTTTCAAAGGTCTGCCCCATCTCTTCCCATCCCAAAACAAACATTAAAAAAATAATAACTACCCCTGTTATCACACTTTTTGAACATATTAAAAAATTATTTTAGCATATTAGAAAATTAAATTACTGTATTGTAAAGTTATCCAACTTGTATACAACATGATATCAATAAAAACAATAAAAACCCGAGTGGGAATATTTTTATTCTCACAAATGAAAATTTCATTCCCACCCTATTAAACAATAAATAATAAAACTATTAACTTCACCTTTTTTAATTTCCAAAAAGAGTACCCATTGTACCCTTCCCACCCCCTATCCAAACAAAACATTAAATCCTAAACATTTAAAAAACTCTACCCGCTAAAACTATTATTATCAAAAAATAGAATACCAATTGTACCCTCTAAACCCAAGCAACAAACCCTAAACCCCGGGGAAAGAGATTTTATTTCTTTTGTGATAAAACATTACAAAAAAAATTCAAAATGAAGAGACTTTATGTCTTTTGCTGAAATAGAACTATGAGATTTTTATTTTAAACGACATAATACATACATATTAGTCATAATATTTTTAATGACGATTATATTTACAACAACATAGTGGTGTGCCATGTGAACGAAGAGTAACAGGGAGAAAATTTTCATAATGATCATCATCACTTGATTCTTCAAAATCAGAAAGTTTATTGTCAGAAGTCAAGGATAGATCGGATAGTATTGCATTAATAGGCTCTACAGGGTCTGAATGTTCAATCTTTGCCTTAGTAATAAGATGGAATCGATTTAGCCATCATTCCATCTGATCATTCTCAAGAGTCAGTGTTGTAATGATATCATGGTAGTTATCCATGCACAATTCCACATACATTTTAGTTGAATGTGCCCGTGACAATCGTAATCTATGCCAATGACAATATACTTCAAACTCACAACGCTTGAAATAAGATTTCAACTAACTTGGTCTTGGTAGATGATAATAAAACTCTAGAGGAGGAACAAAGGTTGCAAGTCCAATCATCACATAGGCGACTTCGGTGAAAGGGTTATGAATGTTGATTGACTCATTCTTAAAGAAACGCAANGTTCAATCATCACATAGACGACTTCGGTGAAAGGGTTATGAATGTTGATTGACTCATTCTTAAAGAAACGCAATTTTTCATACCATGTTTATTCATTGGGATTTATGTAATTATCGGGTTCTAGTGAACTAAATGAAGAAAATGTTTTATGAGAAAATGTGTAGTGCTAAAATATAATGTACCGTTTGTTGTCTTATGTTATCATACCCATTGAAGTGTAGAACAACGGTAAACATAACAATACATACAATATATAGAACAAACATATACATTTTAAAACAATAGAAACTATTGGTTGGAATTAAGTATGTATTGTAAATACTGACTTTAAACATATTGTATTTTAAAAAATTTCAGCAGAGTTTCCCTTAAATCTTTGCCATACCAAAATAAGTTTTCCTTGTTAGTACAATATCAAAACAACAACAATCACAACAACACAACCACAATGTCATACGCACCATAACCACCACCACCAACACCCAACCACAACACCATAAACACCCCACCACACAACCACAAACACTCCACCACACAACCAACAACAATACATAGAAACTACTCTATAATATACATGTGAAAATAAATTTCCAAAAATGATAAAACATGATAACACTAAGTGCCACAAGATGACTTATTCCTGAGTCGTTTCAGATGTCATTCCTCTAACTACGACGGCTCGCCATCGATCGCCCGTGACATTGGATCTCCGCCTCAGCCTCTGCCTCGACCACCCCGACCTCTAACACCTCACAATCTACCACCTCGACCTCGAACTAGTGAAATCAGATGGGCAAGTGGAGTCGTAGCACACAGCTGTGACCTATGCACAATTGCGGGAGTCATAGTAACTCTTGTTTATGACCCTGCATGACATCATCTAATGGTTGTGAAATCTGAACATCTATCGGAGGTGATGCCATAAATACCTCAGTGACCAATAGGCTAGGTAGGTAATGTAAATCCTGATCCATTTGATGTGTATGTGCATGGTCCAGCCATGGGGGAAAAACGCCCTGTGGTATACTCGGTCTCGGTCAATGATGGTGGATAAGGTACAGTATGTGTTGATGTATACGGGGGACTCGACGTGGATGGTGTCTCTACACGTTCTACAGACGGTGTCTATGGATGCTTATGTGCACTAGGTCCTGCTGTAGGCTCTGATACACTCGAGCCTAGTACTGTGTCGACACCGGTATCTACCCGACGAGGAGGCCTCTGTCGTCGCATAANCTACAGACGGTGTCTATGGATGCTTATGTGCACTAGGTCCTGCTGTAGGCTCTGATACACTCGAGCCTAGTACTGTGTCGACACCGGTATCTACCCGACGAGGAGGCCTCTGTCGTCGCATAACAACACCATGAGGGCTCGTAGGTACATCGGGCAGTGCACACGGTGCAGCATGTGCTGTAGGTGGAAGCTCGGCGTGGACAGTACAATGGAGACNCATAACAACACCATGAGGGCTCGTAGGTACATCGGGCAGTGCACACGGTGCAGCATGTGCTGTAGGTGGAAGCTCGGCGTGGACAGTACAATGGAGACTATAGTCTTCTCAAACTATCTCGAGGCAAGTGGAGCTAAGAGATCTGGCGGCTCGCAGTGCCTGTGCATGTGCTGCATCTGTACCATCCTCAAGTGCATCTTGTGTGATCTAGTGAATCTGTACAAGTGTACACTCCTGTAAATGTAAAAAGCACGTACATTAGGATAATATCAATTATGTATTCGTAAATCATGCTTATAATGACAAATGCATTTAGCTATTATCTTACCAATATCTCGACTATGCTACCCATAGACTGGAATCTGATAAGTGGCCTATCTAATGGAGGTCTAATCAATCGTCAAGTGATACGGCTGTACCAAACTTGGGGTGTCCATGGGTCGGGTTACCCACGGGTCCCGTTACTCGGCTCGAAAAAAATAAGCCCAATACCCGATAGGCCCGATAATTAGCCTGCCCGAGCTCGAGCCTGATGTCCTTTAAAAAAGGGCTTGGGCTTACCCCTAAATCCATTACTCGGCCCGAAGCTCGACCCAATAACCCCCCACATACCTGTCCCGAAGCCCACCCTGAAGCCCATAGCCCAAAGCCCGGCCCAGCCCAATAACTCGCCTATAAGAAGAAAAAATGATAATTTGGTAGGTGAGTCAAATATTTTGGTAGGTGAGTCAATATAATTATAGGCATTGAAAGTTAAGTGATGTGTGGACTCAATGTCAATGTGTTCTGACCACAAATTTTGTTTTCAAATTTGAACTACTGACCACAGACCACAACGTCAAATTTGAACAGCTGACTACTGAGCACCACTGCACCAAATCCACATCAAATAAATTTAAATGGCTAAATTTACACGGCTACTGTCTCAGTTGTGTATTGTTTTCTCCAACTGCAAGTGTAAGTCTGTCACTGTGACTGCCAGCGGCTGAGGCCTGAGACAGAAGACAATCATAACTCATAACTCCTGATATAATCAACAGTCACAAAGAAACGATCATTTTTTAATGTATAATTTATAAATACATTTGCTCTTAAGTCTTAACTCACAACTTCATAAGTCACAAGACTCACAATTCTCATTTGTTCTTAACTCATTGGCTGAAATTCAGATTTGCTCTCAACTCACAGAATTATCAAGTGTTCTGAACTCTGAAGTCTTAAGACCGAAACTCTCATTTGCTCACAACTCACAAGTCACAATTGTCAAGTGGTCTCATTTGGTGAGAAATTTGTTTTACATAATTTAAGTATTTTTTTTTTTTTAATAGTTTAATTTACGTAATGACTTCATCTCATTCACAAAATATTTTTTATAACGATAATTATAATGAGAACATCAATGAGGGTGAAAGGGATGATCTATTTTCAACTCTTGAGATGGATTCTACTGAGAGTATACCATCTAATAAAAGAAAAAAGTCTAAGGTCTAGGATCACTTTGAGAAAATCCAAATTAAGAATTCTAATGGAGTCATTACATCAGAAAATGCTATATGTAATTATTGTAAAAAAAATTTTGCTGGAGGCTCTAAAAATGGAACTAGTCACTTAACTAGACACCGTACATGCTTATTAAGAGGTCAAACTGATATTAGACAAACAATGTTATCACAATCTGCTAGCACCGGTACACTAAGCACTTTTAGTTATGAA